AATATATTCAGATCTGTCGTGTTATTTTACCACTTCTAGTGCCTAAAACTGTATATTAGTGTCAGTGTTACATTGCTGGAGCTTATGAGAAAATAAATCAACATAATAGTCAAGTTCCCTACACGTGTTATCACCCCTTGAATCACACCAGCTTCATGTTGGTGATAACTGGGAGCTTCAATACCTGTCTATGGAGGGGAGAAAGAAAAGGAAATGTTTAAGGTGGTGATAATATAAAATTTCACAAGAGAAAATTACAACTTATGACAAAATAGGGCATTCTTAAGATTACACATTTTAATGACATTTATGTTTGTGAATTGAACATTTGTAAGAGAAAACAATCATGAGGTAAAATAAGTCATACAGGGTTATTCACAAGAGTTTGGAGTTTGGAGAAGGGAGAAGTTTGGAGAAGGGAGAAGTGAACAATCTAGGACAACATAGCTGAACTGGAAAGTGAGCTGAATTGGAGAATGTTTCCAAATCAGCTATTTTGACCTAGATTGTTCACTTCTCCTGCCTTCTCCAAACTCTTCACCCTTTTGTGAATAACCCTGATAGTGTTATAATAACTCATCCACATAGTGAATGGAGCCATTAGTTTGTTTGTAGTATACTTTTTCCTTCTGTATTGTTTTCAATATTTATATTTTCTTTTTATTATTAAGTAACTGATATATTGTTTATAAACTATTTTTTTTACATTCTCATTCCCATTTTTTCTAAGGGAATAAAACACAAAGTAATCACCTAATTAATTGAGATGTATGGCTGTTCCATTTCTTTCGGCCCCAATTAATGTGTTTAAAACCCATTTAGTTTATTGTTTGTTATCTGTGTCCTGTTAGAGCAGGGGTGGGCAACTCTGGCCCGTTAACTGTTGTGGAACTACAAGTCCCATGAGGCATTGCAAGACTGACAACTACAGGCATAGCTCCCCGAGGCAGAGGCATGGAGTTGCCCACCCCCGTGTTAGAGAGATTTTCCTTAAATTCTTCTCCGAGAGACCCAACAGGACACAGGAGAAAATCTCTAAGGGCTCATTCACACTTGTGCATTGTGTACGATACATTGCGAATCTAACCCCAATCCATTGTAACGTAAAGCTCAATGCGCAACGCACTGCAGCGCACCACAATGCAATATTGTGTATTGTGGTGCACTGCATGTTCAAAAAGGGTCATGCACATTTTTTTATCCGTTTTGCTTTAAAGCAACCTATGTTAAATCGTTCCACAACCTGCATTAATGTGTGTGTGGTGGTGACAAGGCCACTTACAGCTCAAATTTTTGCTGATTTAACATGAATCAGCTGAAGCTTGAGCCATGCATGGGTAGCTGTAGACTTGCTGCAAGATAGGAAGATTAGCAGGCACAAAGGAAGTGGAGACTGTATATGTTAGGAACAAATATGGCTGCTCTTTTTATAGAAATAGTTACAAATTGTACCCTGAAACATGGTTTTATTACATTAAGCAATTCCATCATCAATAACATTTAAAACAAAAAAAAGGTGCATTGATCTACTTGGCTCCACACAGCCCTTAGTGTCTTCCCGCCGACCCCTATGTCGCTATTGTATTCTTTTATATGTGTAGCTCCTACCACCATTAGCGGAGTGGCTACTAGAAATTTAGTGATTGCCAGTGCTGTAGTCAGTCTGGCTGAATTATAGTTGGCCTTTTTTTGGTTAATTCCAGGAGTTCTGTTATTGATTGTACGTGCCTGAGTGGAGTGCTGCTGTGTGGGACAACCAATGAGCTCTCATAGGGCATATATACTCAGGGGAATTGCCATACGCTTAGTCCAGTTCTGGGATAGCCCATTGTCCAGTCAGGGCTGGGTGCTGTCCAGCCTGCCTGGGAAATGTTTCCCTGGGCCTCAAGTCTGGAGGAGGCCTTTGCTACTGATTTAGGAGGAGAACCAGGAGGTGCCTGGAATAGAGTGGACCTCAGGAGCAAGTCTGGTGTCTCTACTACTAAAGATTCCATACCTATCCCTACTCAACGATTGCTCATATACCCAATGTCAGCTTGTGCTCCTGTTGATTCTGCATTGGAATTCTTAAAGGGACTGGTGATTCTGGAGTCTGTATATTTTGCTTATGGATGTCCTAAGCCCTAAACCCTCTCTCCCTATTCAATAGTTTTAATAAAAGTTATTCAGCATCATACTTCTGGCCTGGATCTCAGCTTTGTTGGACACTAGAAGAGAATGCTAGTGGGGCAGCTGATTACCAAAATCCCCTAGTCAGGCTATAGATGACCTGGGTATTCTTGCGGCTCCTTCGGGGTGTCTGCTACATATGTATAGCTGTTTTTTTCTATACATATATGCACTTAAACAAACATTAATAAGTTTATTTACATTATGTTGATCTCATTTACATATATAGCTAAAACTTTAAAAATTATCCCCTTTAAGCTCTTTTTTTGTATAATAAAGATATTCTTGTGAAATATGTAGTTCATTTTCTCAGTGTTGTTTTATTTTTAGGATAATGGAAGAGTTTCTCGCTTTTAAAGACACACAAACAAACTTAAAGGAGGCGATCCTGGTGGATTACTATGTATCTGGACTCTGTTGGGGAAAAGAGAAAAAATTTAGCTCACTGCAGTTGACTGGATTCATTGGGCTGTTACATTTCCTCATGGAGAATATTGAAAGTAAGTGTGTGATGACCTGTATATTGAAGAAGACTGAAATGCATACAGTATAAATACAATACTATCTTTTCTTCATACAGCCTAATATCCAGCAAAGCTTATGTTCTTAATCATTTTAGTTTATTAATCACCTCCCATCCATGGCCGTTCCTGAAAGGCCGGACGGGTGCCTTATAGGAGCGGGAGGGTGTCTTAAGACGTCCTTCCCCTCCCGCTGCTCGCACACGAGTGGGGAAACTGTCAGCAACGTAAACAGCCAGGGATGGCTGTTTACATTCAAGCGATTGGTCATCTCTAGAGAAGCCTGATCGCATGTACTAGGTGCAGGTGTGCGGCCCCTCCCCACCATCTCCATCGCCACCGGTCTCGAGATCTTCTGTGCGCGGTGCGGCTGGGACCGGCACGGTGACTCTGTCAGTGGAGATCAAAGGGAGATCAGTACACAATCTCCCTTTGATCTCCTCTCCAGTCCTCGAATGCAGGAAGTGAGGTATGTTACATCACTTCCGTGTTCAGTGTCACTCTCCAGCAACAGATGCCGGTGAGAAGCTGCTGATGCAGATCTGTGCTTCATCAGCTTCTCTTGGGGTCTCTAGGTGACATTAGGGGTCTTGGAGACCCTGATGTCTCCATAAAGAGGACCTGTTATGTGAATTGGCTATCACATAGGGGGTTTCTTAGCCCCCTATGTGATAGCAATAAAGTTAAGAGTAAAAAAAAAAACTTTAAAAAAATTAAAGCATAAAAAAATAAAGAAGCTTAAAAAAATAGTCACAAATAAAACATTTTTTAAAATAACACAAAACATTTTTTTAAGTCCACTGCCCCCCATACACAAACAAACGTGTGTCAGGTGCGCCTACGTGCGAAGACGATGATTCCGCCTATTGTGCTGTACATGTTACATATTGCCATGAACGTCTGCGTGAGAGCAATCATTTTAGGGCCATTAATTACTGATAACACTAAACTGATAAGCGGTAAAAGCTTTTAAAGAGTCGCCTATGGCCAATTTTGGGTGTGGTCGTTTCCTGCAATTTCGCGGGCACGCACAATTTTAAAGCTTGACATGTTTGGTGTCTATTTACCCGACGTGACCCCGAATTTTATATTTTACCAAAAAATTGGGATGATAATAAATGTTTCACAACATTTCATAGGGAAACAGGTTTTTTTTTTACAAAATTTAGGGTACGTTTTTGTTATATAGTAAAATATGAAAATCCCAGTGGTGATTTAATACCACCAAAAGAAAGTTCTATCTGTCCCCAAAAAATGGTATAAAATTTGTTTCAGTATGCATTGCATGACGGAATAAATGTCAGTCAAAGTACTGCAGCACTGAATCCTGAAAAATGGCCTGGCCAGGAAGGGGGTGTAACACCCTGGTCTTGAAGTGGTTAAAGGAATTTTTCATTTTTATTGTTTCATTTTAAGCAATGTTAAAAATCACTGCTCCTTTAAAATCTGTATTTTTTAAAAGTGGTTTTTCATTGATACATGTCCCCCAGGGCAGTACCAGGATCCCCATACCCTTTTTATGGCCAATAACTTGCATATAATGCTTCAAAATGGAGACATTTAAATTAATGAGTTCTGGTCCTATAGACTTTCATTGAGTCCAAAGTTCGAGTTAGAATTTTTTCCATGTTCGAAACTTCAAACTGGAACTGAAAGTGTGTGTGTTCGGCCCATCACTATCTAACACGTGAACAACAGGAATGTAGAGCACAGTGATGACCTCATCAGTGACCTCATTCAGTAGCTATTTTTTCATGTTGTTATGAGTACAAGTACCATGCAAAATAGGAAATAAATGTAGGACACATTACTGAAGTCCTTGAATTTTTATGATTTTTTTTAGTGCATTCCAGCACATTTGTAAATGTTTAAGTTGGATTGCTGTTGAAAGTGCCTGCTGCACACCATACAGCGTTGTGGACAATATAGATAAGGTAGGTGCTCAAAGTGACCACCACGGATGGCAGCATGCAGGACCTCAGAGATGTAAAGATAGATAACCAGCACTCCAAAATGCAAAGAAAATATTGTTTATTACTGCTCAGGGTCCCTTCCTCAAGTCGGCACAGGTCAGCGTGTGCATGAGACCTATCTTCACATCTTTGTTCGAAATGCTGTTATGTCTTATTTTTATAGAAAAGTAACTTCTTACCTTAGCGTTTGGTAATAGTATGTAAACAGGTGAGATGGGTTTCCCTCTTTTACAGGTATATAAAGCCTTAGGAAATATGTTTAAGAATTGCTCCATGACTTGTTTTACTTTTCAGCCAAACACTTACCTCTTGAAGAGAATATAAGAGAGCTGGCAAGTGCCATGACTGGAATAGGACACAGCCTACTTGAGACCAAGGGGAAGCTATCTTTCTTCAGTGTTGAAGAAGCTAAAGATATCATTGACTACCTTAAAATGAGGTATGTGTAAGTTTATTGCACTCCGTTAACACTTAATCTACAATAAATTATTATTTTGACATTAATATCATTTACATTCAGTCATTTATTAAAGTGTTTTGTAAAAACACTTATCTGGTTATGTAGGACCACTGTTGCCTTGAAAGTCTTGAATAAAGTACTATAAGGGGAATTGATCAAAACTGGAGCAGACAAAATCTGGAGCGGCTATGCATGGCAACCAATCAGCTTCTCTGTTCAGTTTGTTGAGTTGAAATTTGAAAATGAAAGAGAGATGCTGATTGGTTGCCATGCACACCTGCTTTAGATTTTGTCTGCTCCAGTTTTGATCAATTCCTCTCTTTGTGTCCAAACCTAAGACCAAAAAATGGATATACTAGTCCTTCAATGTCTCTTTTTTTATTTATTCCTTTATTTTTACCTGGTGATCCTGCAAGGGAGGCAACACTTACTTATTCTACTTTATGTATGCAGGGGCAGAGTTGTCACACTGACAATGTTTGAGATTTCAGTGCTGCATTGTCAGTTCACTACAAGAAGTCAGAGGCTCATTCCTGGCACTGGATTCCTGGCAAGATTAACATTTTTGATTGCCCATATCAAACAGGTGTAACAAAATGCAGTCAATGGTATATTTAACAGACCAAACAAGGAAAACATAAGGGAACTAATTGTTAGGATTTACATACCCTTTAAGCTATGCCCTCTAGTAATAGTAAGAACTATTCTGGCTTCCTCCTTCTCCTGTAGTAGCAGGGAAGAGCAGTAAGGAACAGTAAGAAGGGTTGAAGTAGATGTATGGGGCTTTTCACAGGTTGAGGGGGTTACCTATTGTGGCAACAAGGCTGGAAATTCTGTTGAGGAAAAGAGAAAACATTTAGCTCACTACAGTTGACTGGATCAATAAGGCTGTTACATTTCCTCATGGAGAATATTGAAAGTAAGTGTGTGATGACCTGTACATTGAAAATACTAAAATGCATACAGTATAAATACCATAGTACCTTATTTTTTTGCATACATGTTAATAGCCAGTCAAAGTGTATGTTCCTAGTAATTTTAGTTCATTAATATAACAATGAAAAACAAGAAAACATTGTGGCACCACGGACAGAAATTCAGTTTAAAGTCAGATACAATTTTAAAGCTTATATACTATCTAAAACAGATTTTAAACCTTACTTAGGCTAGTCACATTTTTCCAAACATTCCAAAAGCAAATTATGTCAAAAGGTGCTGAAAAGCAAACAGGCATACATATTTATATGTGCATATCTATAAGAACAACAGAGACCCTCCATCTCCTAAGTAATCTAGCGAAAATGATAGTATGTTGACCTAAATTATTCAATCTAAACCACCCGCCTCTGCTTTAAGATTTATGAGCAGGGTATCTGCTGAGGTCACTTATATCAATATAACCATTGTGCACATTAGTCACGTCAGTATTATATGAATTATAAATGGCTGAGATCAGTTAGGCTACTGTTCACATTGCACTTTGCTTTATAGAGTAGGTGTGCATAAGCGGCAGAGGCAGGTACACACTTCAGTTCTCACAGGCCCTGGGACAGCTAAGTTGTCAATGTAGTTGCATGATGATATTGTTATTTTTTGGATCCTTGCACAAAAGAGCCAACTCATTAAACTATTAGCTATTTTAACAGCAGGAGCTACTTGATGGCACAATATTTTTTTAATTTTTATAGCCAGTGCGAGAGGAGGGTTCAAAACTTGGCTTTGAATGCCTTTGCACCCCTTTTGAGCCCCACTATTTCTTCACTAGGCAAATAGTGGTCATATTCCACCCTTTCAAACTGTTAGTTGCAATAACAATTTATCTGTATGCCCAAGAACACTGATTCATAGTAGCTTAACATGTTTTTTCTACTCATGTACCTAGCATAGCAGAAAGTTCAGATGATGTAATCGGCTTTGAACGCTTAAAAATGTGGCAGGAAAATCACCTTGTTAAATAAATCTCTTTGCTTTTCTTTTATGGCTCACTTTGGAAGATACATCTGACAGCATGGTATTGGAAAAATAAGTTTGCTTTGAGACAGTATCTAGCAGTGATGTATTGCGTGTCTCAGAGATGGAGATATTTTCTTATCATCACTAAGGAAAGTTTGAAAGAGTAGTTTAAAGTATTAAACATGTCATTTCTTAACAATGCAGCTGTAAAAATGATAGCAAAATGTATTAATTTTAAAGAAGGTAGTTCTGAAAAGATGGAAGATGGGATTTTAAATTATTTAATCTTGTATGAAACCTCAACCTGTTATTTACTAGTTTTTTAAACTTGAATTACATCTATTCAGATAGGTCATTTTTAAGAGAAAAACAAGGTTTAAAAACTTTAAAGAGAAAGGGTTTTTTTCTTTGCAAAAAGACAGCTATCTTTATGAAATCGTGATTAGACCGATCACATGCAGCTATTTAAATTCATTCTACAGATAAACAAGTTTTAAAGAATAAGGATTTATTTTAAATAGAAAGAAAAGCTGCCTTATGATACCTTTGAATTGCAGCTATTCAAATTAATTAAATAGACAAACAAGTTAAAAATCTTAATAAAATCTGTTATTTATAAATGTAAAGATTGTACCACCTCTCATCTGTTATTATAAATGTAAAGATTGTACCATCTCTCATCTGTTGTTATAAATGTAAAGCTTGTACCACTTCCCATCACACTGCAATGCTCCATTATCCATGTGGAATCATTGTGTAAACCCTTCCAATCTAATGCTGGAGCATGGACAAAAGCAAGGAATAAAACAGCGAATTTGCTATGTCATTGGCTGCCAATTTTTTTCAAAGGTCATTTCTGACTATTCTCATTTTAGCAAACATATACTGATATTTGTACTGTCATGACCATATAACTAGAATATTTTCAAACAATTCCAAGCAGACACACAAAAAATGTAATTTGTTATAAACTTGCAGAGAATGGGATCCGTTTATAACATTTTTTCTCAGGGCAAATTTAGAAACAGTTTTGTCTTTTTTTTTTACAAAGATACTTTGAGGGGAACTTATAAAAACTAGAGCAGACAAAAGCTGGAGCAGCTTTGCACGGCAACCCATCAGCTTCTCTTTTTTTATTTTCAAATCTTAACTGAACAAACTGAAGATAGAAGCTGATTGGTTGCCCTGCCCAACTGCTCCAGATTTTGTCTGCTCCAGTTTTGATAAATTCCCCTCTTTGTGTGATTTCTTCTCTAATTTCCCTTGTATTTCAGATTAAAAAGAAAAGCAAAATCTAATTTGCACTATGAGAAATAATCATTAACCAGTTGTGGACACTGGAAGTTCTACACCAGCCCAAAAAAGTACACAGGATGTTTGAAGTGCCCCACTTTCACTCCTCCCTCATAGTTGCTGGTAATTCCCCACTGTCAAAATGACAGCCATAAGTTGCTGTGCATATACACGGAGGGGCCAAATTTTTTATGACCACCACATCAGTACTTCGTTGGGCCACGAGATGACTCCACGCGGTGACTTCGTTGGGCCGCCTTGTGACTCCACGAGATGTTGAAAGGTGATTCGAGGAATCTGACACTGCACTGTTGCCCTTCTGTTGTCATGTACCAGTCTTGCCACTCTCCGTTCTGCCCTAACATTGACCAGTCGCTGATGGCCACAATTCACACGTTCAGACCCAGATTTTCGGCTGACAGTCCAGTCTTTAAACACTTTAACATCAGCTGCTCTTGAACATTTAACGAATTCTCCTGTTTTGCTGATACTCGTTCCATGGCTCCGAGCACAAACAATCATCCCACGTTCAAAGGCTGTTAAATCACGTTGTTTACCCATATCTTCAGAAAAAAATAATTTCTACTGTCGTGGTGAACAACCTGCTTCCCTATTTATAATGGTCTGGCCCTTTAGCAACTTCAGCACGAAATTATGGCTAATTTGACTACAAACATCAGGTGGTGATAATAATCTGGCCACTCAGTGTACAGCAGCTGCTACTGCCAAAAACCGGACCGTCTGACACAATGTTTAAAAATTCTGTTCAGAGAGATACACATTAACATTGTTACTTTTGTATCTACCTTTTAATTTATTGGCAGATCAAAGGAATGGGCTTGCATCTTCCCTTTACTATTATTTCACTGATGATCCTTTTTTTTTATTTCAATTTTTTCTAACCATTAATTTTTTAACTTTTTTTCATTTATATTCGTTATGTTTGTTTTTTTCCAGTGTTGAATTATAAAAGTGCAAAACTGGAAAAAAAAACTATCAGGGCTGTTCTCAAAAAGGGTGAAGAGTTTGGAGAAGGCAGGAGAAGTGAACAATCTAGGACGACATAGCTGAACTGGAAAGTGAGCTGAATAGGAGAATTTTTCCAAATCAGCTATGTTGTCCTAGATTGTTCAATTCTCCTGCCTTTCCCAAACTCTTCACACTTTTGTGAATACCCATGTATATTTCATTTGTAAATAACATTGCAATGCTTTATGCCGCCAGAATCATCATTTTAATGACATATTGAATAGGAAAAATTATATAATAAAATGTATACATGTAATTTACAGTATCACTTATGTTTTTTAAACTAACAGTATTCAAAGTAGAAAATGCGGGGTTTTCCCCCCTAAAAAATGATTTATGTATTCAGTAGACCCATAGCAGATATCTAAAAATTGCTCTCGTTCATGGGGGGTGTACAGGTGGTGAAAAATGAGGATGGGAAGATTCAGAAGGATTAGTCCAGTGACCCAATACATGACCATGGCATTTGGAGAGGAACAAGTGTGTTTGATGCCCTAATATATATTTAAATGTAAATTAACTTTCTCACACTTTCTAACGTTTGATGTGGTATTACTCTTATGTGTGTTGATGGTGTTTGGCCTATTTTTGCATGCATTTTGATGCTCATCTGTTTTACTTCAATAAATATACATGTGTTTATAATAACACAAACATACTGTATGTAAAAGTGTGCACAAAAGCTCCAAATATGTGTGATAATAACCTTAATGAAGTTTTACCAAAGGATAAGTATCTTTATTTTCAGCCATGTGACTGTAATTTTCAAATCTCATTAAACTGAACTAAAAAATAACGGTAATTTCTTTGAAAATAAGGAGACGTATCTTGATGTGTTAGATTTGTGAGCTGAGCCTATTTGTGTGTTAAAATGAATGCATTTTTTACAGTTAATTTTCTTCTTTTTTTTTCAAAAATATTTTATTTTGTTGAACATAAGTACAATGACATCCATGGTCAACAATTTTCTGTGTTTTCCCAGTTAATTTTCTTTAGAAGGGTTAGAACCTATGTCGGGTTACTATTGCTGTGCCCACAGCATTTTCTCTCATAAACTGCTACATACTACTAACAGGGGGTTGCAGGGATAGAAAGTAATGTGAAATCTTTGGAATGGGAATAGGTACAGTACCAAAAATGTTTTTATAGTCCACATGCACAAATCTGAGAAACGTAATGGATCCAGAGCATATAAAACATAGTTTTATATATAACTTACCTTTTATTTGTATTAATTGGGATCCAGCTCCAGCCCATATGTAAGAATTCTGTCTGCAGGGTGAAGAAATGGACTGCTGCGCACTGCGTGACGGCAATGGCTTATCCCCCATGGTCCAACCTGCTTTCTACACAGCCAAAACTACTTCTCTCCAATTATGGATGATGATGCATATATAGTTGTTCTTCCCCTTGTTCTGTGCACTGTTTGCAGATGTAGAAATTGAACCCTTGTGATTTAGTACTGTAATGCAGCCAGTTTATTTTGCTTTTTATTTAACTGATAAGTGCTGCAGCAATCTAGAGAGTCGTTTCTTCTGCAGTTCGACACTCTCCCCTAGTGCAACATTCAATAGCTCTCTAGCTATCTGGACAGCGAGCATTGTGATTAGCACACTATTCAAAACGGGTATCTCTGCCCATGGAAGTGTCAGGCTGCTGTTTTGTGCAAGAGAGCCAGGATTCAACTCTCCAGTTTGTTGCAGCACAACATTTTCTTGCTGGTTGAATAAAGAGTACAACATTATTGGCTCCTTTACACTAACAAATCATTCAAAAATTAAATTGAAAAGTTGAGGGAGTTAGACTGTATTTAACATAGACTGGTTCTATGGACCCTAAAGAAAGTCAGTGCTGTCACTGTCTGAGAGTGAAAAATTTAGTATTAATGAATACATTGATCTGAAAAGTTTCCTAATATCTACTTAAGTATTGTTCAATTGCCACTAATACATTTGGACTGAAATATTTGTTGACATTTATGTTGTTTCTTTTTTCTTTTACCTTTTAGTTTATTTCAGCATTATAAGCTATATGAGTGCATGTTCACACTTCCAAGAGATCAAAAAGTTGTAGGAGCAGAGGTAAGCAAGACGGTTTTTATTATATGGCATGTTTGCACTTCATATGCTTTTCTCTATTAAAAATGTAACTTTCAAATCAAAGATCCCCAATATTCACATTTGCACTTTAGAAGTCTTTGGGCACTTTAAAGTGATATTATAGTAAAAAAAAGGGTTTTTAAGCTATTTCAAATGCTACAGTAGATGTAAATCTTAAAGGAGAAATTAAGCCAAAACCTTAATTTTTTTAGCTTTGGATGGCATAAAGGTGTGCTATAAATCCTGCCATTTTTTGCCATCTATGTCCCACTTGGGAGATTTCCTTGCACTTTGTCTGATATCCACAGCAGGCAGTGAGTAGAAATCCCTCCAAAGAGGGAAATTATTATTATTATTAATATACAGGATTTATATAGCGCCAACAGTTCCCTGGTGGTCTGCAGGGTCACCAGAACTAGTGTCCCATCAGAAGATTTCCCATATATTCCTGCTCTGATCTGATGACAACACTAAATTAGGGATTTTCTTTAATTTTCAGTGATAACAGTTACCATGTTAAATAGAGAGGGTGAATCTCACTAACAGGGACACAGACAGCAATAAAAACCTGACAGGTGTTCTAATCTCTCTCCACTAAAAAAAATGATTTGGCACCAGTTGTGCTAGATAATATTTAGTTTGCTAAATAATTTCCATATTTTATTTTAATAAAATACAGTTTTACCCTTTTATACTAACACCTCTGCTTTTATTACATAGCAGTTGACATACTAAAGGCAAGTAGTCTATTTGACGGTAATGAGATTTGAGTATCTCATTATTAATTAGGAATTGTATCTCCCTCACTTTGGAAGAATTGTGTTCTTCCTGGTCTGCCCTACAGCCAATCACTATTCAAATCCTGCCCCCTTTACCTTCGTAACATTTCCAGAATATGCCCCTTCCTTACCAATGAAACCACAAAGTTACTCATCCACTCACTTGTTATCCCTCCTCTTAACTATTGCAGCTCCCTCCTCATTGGCCTACCACTACACATGTTATTCCCTCTTCAGTTTATCATGAATGATGCAGCTAGACTCATCCACTTAACCAACTGCTCAGTGTCTGCAACCCCCCCCCCCCCCCCCCCCCCACCCCCCACCCGGCTTCCCCTCCCCA